TATCGCAAACCTTACTTATCGTTTTATCGTTATCGCAGGTCCGAAAATTAGTTATCGCGGAAAGCACTGTAAATGGACACTGGTGGTATATGAGTGTATCACAAGTGATTGCGAGTTTTTAACTCTATAGTGCTGCACACAAAAGCTTGCACAATACATTATGGATGTTTTCAATGAAATGAGTGTTTTAAAGAAATCAAAATAAAAGATTATCGACTGAACACAAATTCACCAGACTTCAATGGTGGTGTGTAGTAGGAAAGCCAATTCTGGTCCCAATTTTTCTCGCTCGTAGTGCTATTGGTTTGGTCTGCAGAAGGGGTGCCCGTCTTACCTACCCTGACCGTCTTACCCCACTTTCCCCTAGGTAGTCGCCATTCGCCAGCCCTACTTAGTAGGGCTGGCGAATGGCGATCATCTCCAACAGGCCTTCCTAGGTATTTAGAGCAAAATGGATGTGGACGGCTTCGTCCTGATGATAAAAAGGACGGATGCGGGCATTCTCTCTTCTGCTCGGCGTCTCCTATGCTTGCCAGATGCTCGCGGTGTGGAATTAGATGCTCGTTGATTTTATTCCTCGGGAGCAGGCTCATTTTTTTTTCGAGTAAGCTAGCCGAAAAGTCAGGAAGAAGAGCAGCCCCACTTCTACCAGGGTCCCCACCTATGAGAATTGGACATTCCTTGTAAGTGAGTTGGGCCATGTATCGTTAAAATCCGAGAGATGAGGGTGTCAAATTGGAAAAAAAGTGGTACGATCTATCGTGGAATGCCCCATTCCACGATAGATCGTACCACTTTTTTCCAATTTGACACCCTCATCTCTCGGATTTTAACAATAATTGGTCTAAGGGGTAATCAGGGGCTCTGAATCCTCCTGTGACAATTTCAGGCTAATCCGATGAATAGTTTTTGAGTTATAATGTATAACGTGTTTTGGATCTTGCGTTGCAGCGCCAAGTTTGGCGGGCTGTAACTCTAAGACGGATAATCCAAATGCCAAATGCTATACGGCATTGAACTTGCATTGAAACAAATAATAATATGCATTTTTAAAATTTTGAAATACAAACTATTTTTGATATATAACACATCGAGTTTCCTTCATTTGCATTTTAATGGCTTTGGGACCAAATTTTTTTGAATTTTTATTTACTTAAAAACATTTTGGGTCATTATTAAGTAGTATGCAAAAAATTAGGAAGGTGTTCTTTCTATAAATGTACTTATTTTGCGTCACCGTAATGGTCTCGAATTGTGATTTTGGGAAGAGAGCCTACAAATGGCGTATAAGCGTACAAATGGCGGTAAAGCTGCCTAGTGACATCATTGTTACTGAAAGTCCAATTGAAGTCATTTTTGCCTCACGTTTGCATTGTTGACCTTGCGTGACGTCATTCGTACGTCACTAGGGTCACAAGAGTTTTCCGTCAATAACTTTCGATCAAATTGAGCTAGAGAGACGGGAAAGCTACCAATGGACTCGGGAAGACCTTGCGAATCGAATGATGTGCAATATGATCTCATTCACCCAGCTTCGTGGCCTGACCCGACTGTTAACCATCTCTGTGGCGGCGCTGTTTGTCCAGCGCCGCGCTGGTTGGCTTTGCCGCGGACTCGGGGCGGTCACGTGATGCCCGGGGGCTGGCTGCCGGCTGGGCCGCCCGGTCGGGGAGCGGAGCCAAATACACCGCAGTGTGCTGACCCGAGGTCAACGACTTAAGCTGACCTCACCAGAACAAACAGTATACCATTCGACGCGCCGGAGCTAGGCAAACACAAAGATGCTAAAATCGGGGCTCTGCGACCATTTGTTGCGAAGTTATCTACCAAAAACCGGACCCGTAATTTGGGTCACTTGAAATGACCTCAGGGGTCACCAATGAACCCGAGACATTAAAATTTGGTATCATTCGATGCATCTTGTAACGGCGCACATGCTCGTTTTTTCCGCAAGGTTCTAGCTCCATTAGAGGCGAAACGGCGAGCTGGGGTCGTACCGACCCCCCGGAAACCCATTTGTATGCATTAAAATGAGGACTTGACAGAAAGAACACCTTTCTAATTTTTTGCATGTCGATTTTAAATGACCTGAACTTTATTTTGAAGAAATAAAAATGCCAAAAAGTTTGGTCCCAAGGGCCGTTATAGACAATTTAAAAAAATATTACGACTTTTTTCAATATGTAAAGCTTATCTTTCCAATTTTAAAATAGCTGTATTAAACTTTGATTCATCGTTAGTTCAAAGCGGTTTACCGTTTGTTGCTTGCTTAGCTCGTTTTTGAGTTATAGCTCATCAAACTCACCCTTACAATCTGAAGTTTAGAAAATATTATGCAATGTAGCTCAAAAAGTTTTCATCTGAGAAGTCTGAAATTTTGACCGGTGTTTTTGGAGCCTATGATTACCCCTAGTACCAATTTTCATTCAAATCTGAGAGATGAGGGTGACGGGCCTGGTACGATCTATCGTGGAATGCCCCAACCGTTAAACCTCCGCCCGTCATGCTCTCCTGTTTGCTGCAAGGTCGTATATTATACACCTTTTTGCAATTGAATTCAACCATTGGCCATAACTGTTTGAAGAGCCATTTCGACAATCGGCATTGAGCACAACTATTCCGGCGTCGTGTGTTTCATTTCAGCCATTCGACAAAACAGATTGAACGCTGAAATGAGCGATCTGCAAAACAGTTTGACACTTCACCATGACTTCGGCAATGAGCACAACTCCTCGGCATTTGGTGATATCACTTCAGCAATGTTCAAAACATAATAAATGGATATCCAGGCTGATTTTTTTAATGGATTTAACACACCTCGACCATTCACCACTTGAGCGTGAACATTATGGGCATTTCTAAGCAAGAAGTCAGCCGTTCCTTAGCTTCTTTCTAAGTGGAACAGTACGGTAATTGTCAGTCAAGCCATGCAGTACGTTTATCTTACCGGTGAGCATTGCCAATCAATGCCACCGACATTTCTTTTTAAATGACCTTTGACGTCATTTAGTCAAGTGTCAACAAGACAAAACAATGTCTCCCTTCGGGTTTTTGTTTCTGCTTGCAATGCTACACATACAGCTGAATTCAATAGGTATGTGAAATGCATGCATTGAAGTCATTTTCGTAAATGCATCATACCATTCCAACCTAGCACGCCTACGTTGGTCGATGGGCACTTACTTAACTACAAAAGTTATAATTATGTAAATAGCCTATTCAAAGACGAGCTCTTTATTGGCACATCGAATAAACAAACTGTCCTCATGGCGGAAGCTGACGAACACCATGCACATCTGCCATGGCGGTCACCTTGCAGGAACTCTCTCACGAGGGCAAGGTTTCGCCAATTTATGAGGCCTATCTAATTTCGAGCCCCAAGGCAATACCGTTCAGCTGACTTAGAATGAGCGCAAGGTGTTGTTTATCTGTTAGTGTTGGACTCATGCGCACAAAGAAATATAGTGAGCTCCCGGGCTCAGCCGAACGTATATGCTGGGTGTGCCGGCTGAGGTCGGTCTCGTCCAGTGAACAATTACATACTGGCCGGCCCGGTGTGGGGTGTGCTTGTTCCATCATCCACTCGGTTAAAGGGGAAGGTGGGGTAAGACGGCCCAGAGGGGCAAGACGGACCACCAGCCCTCCCGGCTGAACCGCTGCTGGTATCTTCTGCTTTATGCACTCACTATGTTTGTTTTCCTTCATTAAATGGCCACCTTGAGCTCATGCTGCTAGGATGCATAGCTTTTGAGTTATTGAGAAAAATCTTGTTTTTCGTCAAACCGATCTAATATAAGAGGTCTACCGGTGATTCAATTACGGCGCCTTTCTTGCATGATTAGTTTCTATTTTGCACTTTTCTGTGAAGAACAAAGTTATAAACTTAGTTATAGTCACACTTTAGGAAAGGCAAGGTTTTGCAATGTTGGGCTTTTGACATATACGTCATGATAATGACAGAATTTAGATTTGGGGCAAGACGGACTACTGTGGTCCATCTTACCCTGTGGTGGTCCATTGTACCCTGCATATGGAAAGTTCTTTTCCAAAACATTGACACAAGTTTAAGTAAGCTAATTTTTCAGGAAGGAGTCTTTGTTGCATGTGAGCCATGCATGCAAGTGCTCAGTTAGCATGCATTCATGCCAAACGACAATCGACACACATGTTCCCAGCTTTCAGCTGTTCTTCCATCACACATGAGTAAAGAATAAAGGCTCATTTTGTTATTTTACCATTCTGGTTACTTTTTCTTACAAGAGTACAGAGCAGAAGTGTAACACACATGAACGGATAGCAGGCACTGCTGGGTGGTCCGTCTTACCCCACGTTTTTTCTTGTCTGAATTTTTGACATGTCCCTCTTTAAGAGCACCCACCACCTAGATGTCTTTAATTTGAAATTTAGTCTTTACACATATCAACAGAGGAAGGATTGAGCATTCCGAAGACTATAAATAATATGAATTACGAGAGCAGTGTAGCAAGATATGCGGCCTCAAACCTTAGCTGGTCCGTCTTACCCCACCTTCCCCTATGAGGGAAATGTCAAGGATTGGGCCCCATGAGCTGCTGCTCCGCCTGCTCCATACCCCCTGCGGCTGTCAGTGCACACGATCATTTGTTTTGATCATTGCTGATCTGTTTTTCTGAATGCTGAAATTTCCATAGACGGTTTTGGCCAATCATGAATTTCCGCCTGCTCAATGACGAATAGTTTCGACCATTGACGATTTGTTTCGCACAATGTTGAACCATTCGCTCAATGTCGAGTTGTAGAGGAGGATCGCCGAACAGTTTTGCACAATGGAGATTCTTTTTGACCAGCCGCCCATTTGTAGCGCCATCTATATGGCGAATGTGTACAAATGTTTTGCCCAATGGTCAAAAGCTAACGCAAAAAGGTGTAGTAGGTGTGCAGGTGCTGTGTGTCCTCCAGTCCTGCCACCTCCCCCAGTGGCGGCCGTTTGTTACAACTCCAGTGTTTACCTTTACCACCAGATGGCTATACCTGCCCGCGGCCGGACCCTGCCGCCGCTGAAGGGCAGCTCTCGGCAGCTCCTCTCGCCGACCGGCCAGGAGATCACGGTTCCACCGAGCTCTGCACGAGGCTCTGCAACAAACGGGACCAGTGGCGAGCAGCAGTCGGCGTCCCCGCCAACCGACCAGAAAGATGAACAGGTATCGGCGCCTGGGCAGCTGCGGAGGAGCCCTGCAGTGTCCTGGGCTTAACTTCGGCTTAGAGAGGACCTATAATTCTAAGACTTATATTTCAGCAACCGCTGAGGCAGTTGACTTGCGTTTTTTGTAGTAGAATAGCTCTTTTATGTTAAGTATCGGTCTATTCTCGATGCACGAAAGAGACAATTAAGCAGTGGGCACCCATGACCCACCGGGCGATTTATTTCCAGCTATCAATGTGGGAGTGCATCCCATATCATGAAAAGCTGGGCGTATTGTGATCAAATTTGTTGCACCGTTGATGACAGATTAGGAGGGATAATAATAGAAAAGGAATGACAACAATACGGATGTTGTCTGCATTTAACGGTGCTTCTTTTTCAGTCGGTTCCGTCGTCGAACAACACCCAGGAAGAGGCGCAGGATGTCGATGATGTCAAAACTGCAGACAATAAGAAAGGTGGGTGATACTGATTTCTGACCTTGATTACTTGCTAGTGAGAGCGCATGTCTTGAAATGCGCTATTTTTTCTTTAACCCTATTAGTGGCAGGGGGGGGTTGTTTTTATCCACCCCTCAGGTTTTTCGGGAATATCTCCGAAACCGCTGAAGCTACGATGCTGAAATTTTCTGACTTTTCCTAAAACTAAATTGGGCACATTCCCTGAAAATTTCAAGTTCATAACTTTACCAGGGGCGGCTCCAGAGCACTGGGAATTGGGGGTCCTATTCGTGAAGCGAGTCATTTGGGCGAAGATCACGATGCTGCACCAGTTTTACGAACAGTGAATGAAAGGTATCATGTGATAACATGTACAAAGTTATTGTGCATCCTCTTTTGACACGTTTTTGCTATAATAGGCGGATCCAGGCGTCCAAAAAGGGGGGTTATTTTTTACCTCCCAACATAGGTGCCCTGACACCGCCTATGCATGACCAATACAATTTTAGTCGTTCTCTCATAAGAAAATTGTAACATAACAAGACCATTGCCACCCTTTTTAGAAACAGTACCAACAAAAACCTTATTTACTATACTTTTTGTGTACCCCCAATCTCAATGATCTGTATCCGCCTATGATTTTTGAAAATGCATATTTTTAGGATCCATGTGAATTCCTGGTTCATTCTCTATCGATCGGCAAAAGTTGCGTTAAGATTGGTTCAGAAACCTGGCCGTGATAAACAGTCTAAAATGTATCTGCAATTTGCCCGTTTTTACCCCCCTCTACCCCCCTATTGACATTTTTTAATTTTATTTTTTTTAGAAATGTAGATCACGTTGAGCCAAATCGAATGCCGTTTGAATTTTGAAAATCGGCCGGTTAGATCTCGAGATATCAAGGGGGGGTCGTAAACAGCCCCCCCCCCCTGCCACTAATATGGGGTAGCCAGGAGCCTGCCACTAATAGGGTTAAAGGGACTATCCCACCTTCTAAAATGTTGTTAAAACCAGTTAAATTGTGCCCGACTTTATAGATTGGATGACCAGGAACACGGTTCTGGCATTTATTTTTCATTAAACATCTTAGGCTTCCCATATTCCAAACACAAACTTTCAAATATGTGACGTCACAGCTCAAAATTACCTCCTTCCCCAGGCCACATTACTGTCATAAAGCTGATTCTTTTTTTTCTGTAGGCACCACAACAAAGTTCAGACCAAGTTTTAAGCGATTTTTCAACGAACAAACCCATTTAAATCAGAATGACTAAACGAGGTGACGTCACACTAACGGTCGCTCCATGTTGAAGATAGGGCCTTGCGCAAGGCCCATTTTCAAATGAAGGGAACGGAACGAATTTCTTCAACACCAAGAGGCCGCGGGGGTTGCAACCTAGATAGATAGTGGTTTCTGAACCTCGCCGCAAACTTGGCTATTTCAACTCAAACCCCATGTTAACCCGCGCCCCGTAGGGCTACCGGCGGACCCTACCACCCGTAGGGGGGGGGGGCCGTTTCGGCCCTCCCCCTAAGATCTCGGAAAGTTACCGGCCGATTTTCAAAATTCAAACGGCGTTCGATAGCCCCACCCGGGAACTACCTTGTGACCAAATTTCATTGACCTAGGTCAAACCGATGACGTCACAGGTCAGGTCAAAGGTCAGATTTTCACCGTTCACAGGCAATTCAAGAAATGTGCTGTGAAAGCGAGTAAATTGGTAATTTATTGAAAACCATCGATGGTACATTGTTCGTCAAACACATACTTTGCTATCTGAGGTCACTGATACCAGGTCAGGTCACAGCGAGGTCAGGTCACCGGGGGTCACAATATGAATGTGTCGTGTGATACATGTTTTATGGTCCATTTTACATGACAAATGCGATTATGTGGGTTAGGCAGCCTTTGGGGCCAGCCTAGGTCACGTTTTTGTGAAGGTCAGGTCAAGGTCAGGTCAAATTAGGTCAAATTTCAAAGTTGATATTTTTGCATAAAATGGACATCGATTCGATGCAGCTCGTCACGGGGAGTCTAATGGTGGTCTTCGTTTTGCTCTACGAGTTCTAGAATTGCTAAAAATTGAGTTTGAAAATTTGACGTCATCATTTTTGAACAGTTTTTTCGCTATAACTTGGCCAAAAAACGAGATATCGATCTGAAATTTGGTATGTAGATAGAAGACGGTAGGCACTATCACATATATTCCGTTTTTTTTAAACTCAAAAAACTTTTTGGATTTTTTGGCGAATATATCCAAAAAATGCTTTTTTGATTTTTGGGGGTCAAAACTCAAAAATTTCAAAAATTCGAGATTGCAGTTTTGTAGCCCTGTCAATTCTACACCTTTTATGTCTTGATCATTTTTCTGTATCTTCAAAGCTGTAGTCCTGACAGGTCTTCTCGCGAAGGTCTTTTTTCGGTCGAAAATGACAGAACATGACGTCACTCTGACGTCATTTGTGGCCAACCTATCATAGCCTCTGGAAAAATTTTTGGTCACAATGTGTAAAATTGATGCCCGGAGGGGTCTTGAAAGTTTGGTGGCGATATCTCCAGCCGTTTAGGAGATATCGACCGAAAAGGACAGGGGGGGCCGTTTCGACCCCCCCCCCCTACGGGGCGCGGGTTAAAGGTGGGATAGTCCCTTTAATACGCGTTTAAAACGGGAAAGCGTTAGGTTAGGTGATTTAGATTAAAAAGGTGGAATTTTGCATCGTTTCGATTAATTTCTTTGTGGTTCTGCGTTTGAGTTCACTTTACATGGTTGCAGTAGATTAATTTAACCCGCGCCCCACTGGGGGGGACTATTCATAGCCCCTCTCCCGTTTTTCTGCAATAACTTCCAAACCGCTTGATGTATCGACGCCAAACTTTCAGTACCTTAAGCTGCATCAATTTGACACCTTGTGTCAAAATTTGAACTTTGTAGCTACCATAGGTCGGCCGGAAAGACGTCAGAGTGACGTCATGTTCGGCCGATTTCGACGCAAAACATTGAACCATGGCAATCGCTCCCAAGAGCTCAGTTTTTTAGCTAGATCCAATTTCTTTGCATGAAAGGACTTATAATTGACTGCTCTATCAAACTGACATCTCGGATTTTCAAAACTTTGAAAATTTCGAAAATTTTATATAATAAAATTCAAAATTTATATTGTTATATTTTTTCAAAAAGTTTTTGACTTTTCGAAAAAAAACGGAATATATGTGACAGAACGCATGCTTACGACTACCTCTAGCAAGTTTTAGCTAAATATCTTCAAAAATGGCCAAGTTATACGCATTATTGCAAAAAATCACAATTATTAATTTTTCAAATCAATTTTTCAGTGCGTATTTGACATCGTACACCAATATAAATAGCACCATCGTGTTCCTGAGCTCAAACTGCATCCCATAGACACCTTTTTTGTTGAAAATTTTTAACTTTAAAATTTGACCTTTTTTGACCTGAAAGTGACCTGACCTAAGCTAAATTCGACTCAAAATGACCGCGAATGACACAGACGACATCAAATTCGAAATCTATGGCCTAAATGGACCATAAAACATGTGTCACGTGACCGACGCATGATATAATATTTCCGTGACCTGTGATGACCTGACCCTGACCTGAAAATCAAAGTACAAGTTTGGTACCCTCAGGGTATCTAGAGCATCTGTTCACGAGTGTGTAAACCAAAAATGAGCCTGATCTGACTCGTAAGACGGCGGCCAGAGCCCAAAATGTGAACAAGCCAAAATGCTAATAATTTTTTCTTTGACCTGACCTGTGACGTCATCGGTGACCTCGAGGTCAATGAAATTAGGTTTCGCTTGACAGGTTTTCCGGGGCTATCAGACGACGCCGTTTGAATTTTGACGATCGGCCCAGTAGTTTCGGAGTTAGGAGGGGGGGGGGGCTATGAAGAGCCCCCCCCCCCCCCCAGTAGGGCGTGTTATACGCAGACCCCAGTGGGGCGCGGGCTAATGAATACGAGTATCGGACTATTTGTATGCGAGACATGCTCATTTTAAGCTGGCTATTTTTTTCGCCAGATGTATAAACTATAAGGAGCCTAAACCTGCTGCAATCTGTGACAGTGAAATTATTTTTATGGTGGCAGGTCATTAGGTGCTTTTCCAAATCGTCCATATTTTTATAGCCATGTGCGGCTCATTTTTGTGTACTCCAACAGGCAGTGCATTGAGCAAGCTTATGAGCAGATTCAAGAGAAAAAAGCTTGAGACAACCAAAAAGGGAAAAGGAGACGAAAAGACTGCGGAAAAGGATTCAACGGAAGCCGAAAATCAGCCCGAGGGAATAGTGCAGCGAGGTGAGATGAGATATAAATCACCCCACTTCATTTCATTAAACTTGCAGGCGCTTGTTAAATACTTGTTTTTTATGTGTGTGCTTTTAGTGCACTTTGACTGTCTGGTGACCTGGTGACCCGTCTGGTGTCCTGGTGACCTGTCTGGTGACCTGGTGCTTTGTGGTGATCTGGCTGGCCCGTCTGGTGACTTGGTAACCTGCATGTGGTGACCTGGTGTCCTGTCTGGTGACCTGGTGACCCGTCTGGTGACCTGGGGCTTTGTGGTGATCTGGCTGGCCCGTCTGTTGACTTGGTAACCTGCATGTGGTGACCTGGTGTCCTGTCTGGTGACCTGGTGACCTGGTGACCAGTCTGGTGACCTGGTGACCCGTCTGGTGACCTGGTGTTGTGCCGCAGTGGTGGCGGTGGCCAGTGCCGACCCTGACACTGAGGACAGTCGGCCGGCCAACCCGTCACCGGCCTCTGAGCCGCGGCGGCCGTCTGCCAGCGCCGACACGCCGCCGCCGCCGCCGCCGCCCCCGCCGCCGCCCCCGCCCCCGCCCCCGCCCGCCGCCGCCGACAGCCCGGCCGACCAGCCGCCACCGGCCGAACGGCCCAACGCTGAGGAGGAGGCGACCAAGAAGAAAAGGAAAAGGAAGGCGATGGTAAGTATCACTATCGCGAGTTGGTGTTATACGTATACCGACCATGCTTTTTCATCGTCTTCGTTCCATATTTCTTGAATAAGAGAGCTTTATAAGCTTAGAGACCAAAAAGTATTAAAAACTTTCTTATTCCTACAGCATAACCACATTTATGTAGATAAATATACGCTTAGGCACTAGTTTGCTTGCAGGAGCTGAATTTCAGGCTTAAATATCTATTATTAATAAGTATCGAGTCAAAATCATTTTGCTTTGCGTTGGTTGTCTGTGGTAACAACTAACAATATTGAATAACCTATCAGAAACGGACAGATTAAACGTTCCACCTGATCGAAAGTACAGTGAGAGTCTTACTCCAATGCCAAACTTACTACTATTGCACACCTGATGACACTTTTTACTGCACATTGGTGCAACAGATTGTATAACCCACCCAAAATGTTTTCAGTCGAAAACTTGTGAAATCGTCTAGCGCATGTATCAAGTGTTTGCAAGACGGCAATTCTGCAAACCAATTGTTACGGTAATGTTGAGAATCACTGAATCCATCCAACGGATAATAACCCTCCCAAGGAAGAAACAAGATGCAGCGCTCATCCGTCCTCGAAATCAATGAAGCCCACCTCCCAGCATCATGTCACAAGCACAACATCATAGTTACAGAACTAAATCACAACATTATTAATAACATCACAGTATCACATTATAGTGATCCATTGCGTTCGTTGTGTTCCGCTTTTGTATGAAGTTGATAGTATCTATGTGTATTTTGTACTGTACATTTATACGTGCAAGTCTTGAATATTCATTAGAAAGGGTCTGGGCAAAGACATGTAACTATACCTGCCATTTAAAATATTGTATCATTTTACTTATTTGGGAGTATTTGTACGTACGTTTTTGAATTAAGATGTTGTGGATGTTGTGTAGTAAGTGTATGTGGTTTTCATGTAATCCATTGTGTGACGAATAGATGGATTAAAATTGCTTAGGCACATAGACCTCGCTACATCTATCAAGAGAACGTAGCTGAGAAGTAAAATGACGCACGAAGAGCTTCCTATGGTAGCTTGGGGACTTTGAAATCTAAATCGACGCCTTAGAAGCATTGAATGTATTCATCGGTGCAGGAATAGCTCTCGTCGAATCACTCAAAATGCCTTATCACCTCTCTGCCTGAGCTGAATCATCATTACGACGGTGGCCTTCCATTACAGTCCTGTACCTGTCCCTGCATCTATTTATTTGAAAGCACACCGATATGGCATTGGCAGCGCTTTGGAAGTGGGTAAATATCGATATCAACTTTTTTTTTTCCGATTATATACATTTATTACACTCAGATCACCTTATCACATTCACAGTCATCCGACATCATCCACTCCAATGATGCGCCACCAGTGGCTCATCAGTTGTTGCATCACGACGCGCAACGACAACTCTCTCCAACAGCACACACGCGCCACACTATCACTGCACCGCTGCAATGGTTGCACTACACATGTCAAGGCACACATGGCACCACCGCGGGACCGGTCTTTGCGGCACTGCTCCAACAGCGCAAGGCAGCCAAACAAGTCAGAGTGAGCAAAACAGCGAGGCAAGGTCCGGGTGAAACGTTCAACACAAGATAAGGATAACAATACTGCAAAAAATACAAATTGTTTAACAAAGCCCAAAGGAATCATTTATCAATACAGAACAGTTTTTATATCAACTTTTATCAACTATCAATGACTATCAACCATCAATGACACCGGCGATGCAGCGGGCGACGCCGGCGGAAGACGCGCCGGCGGCGACTCGGCCAGCCCGGTCACCGGGACGGGCGATCGAGGCGGCGGCGGCGTGACTGGAATCCCTACTTTTTTCTGCTTTGTTTTGCTCCTTTCACACATCACATGCACGACAAAACAGCCGCTAGTCCCTCCCCGCGACCGGCGAGCTCGTGACCTTGGGGATCATCCGGGTGTTTGTGGCATGTTTGTTTTATAAATATCATGTTTATATTTATGTATAATATGTATTTATTGTATGTATTTTATGTATGTATTTTTAAGTGTTTTTACGTATTTCTATTCCTCATGCAGATCAGTTTACATCATGCAATGATGCAAACCGATCTCACATGAGATGTAAATTGCATGAAGGTACAATTCACATGCCCACAAATGCATGCAAATGTATGCATTTGCAGGCAAGAGTGCTGCAAGTGTGCAACTGTGTTATGGATTGACGTACAAAGATTTGGGTAAAAAATTCTCTACGCCAGTTAATGTGCATCGTTTTGTACGACGATGCTTTTTAGTCTTCCCCACTTTTTCTCGAATTCTTTTTGCTTGTTTATGCGATTAGCTGCTTGTTGTTCTATTTCTACAACAATTTTCAGTTTGTTTATTAGGTGTGTCACCTCTGGTGTGATATTTCGTAACCTTGCTTCATATATGACCATTTTTGCTAAAGCCAGTATGTATGTCTGTTGTGGATTTGCATCGATTAGGAAGAACCAAGTTTTGCTGTCTATAGGGAGACGGATTTCGTACGGATCTAGAATTCTGAGTTTGATATCTGCTATAAAGGATTTTACTTTATTACAATGCCAGAACATATGAACCAGCGTTTCCGGTTCTACTTTACAGAACGTGCAAGTGTCTTCGTCTTTAATGTGTATAGTCTTAAGGTAGGTATTCGTTGCTACTATGCGATTTATGAGTTTATATTGAAACATTATCAGTTTTGCTGACTTTGTGACCTTTTTTAAGATTGCAAGGCTATTTTCCTCAAAACCCCCAATATCTCTGATCCACTTTGCTTTTTGGCGTTCATTAGCATTCCGTATTTCTAACTGCTTATGTTTTACATTTGCTTCGTACGCTTGACGTGAAAATTTTTCATTGTTTAACACCACGCACATTCTATGTGGCATTATCGGCCCAAGTGTTTTATCTAATTGTTGGTTTTTTATATAATCAGGTAAGCTCCTGATTAAGCTCGAATAACATAAAAATGTCATCTTCACGTCGTAAGCATTTTCGAGGCTCTCTTTGGTATGCAAGGTTCCTGTATTTTCGTTAAACAAATCATTTATGAGCCGAATTCCTTTTTTGTACCAACTACGTATTATTGAACATTGGAATTTCGTGTAATCTGAAAACCATATGCTTTCGAAAAGTACGTTAGCCTCATCAGGTACGTATACTCTGCTAAAGTTTGCAAAACTTTTTAGTACGTCGCTCCAAAATTTGTTTTCAACCTTCTTCATCAATTTCTCTAGTTGTTTACTGCCAAATTGAAGCACGTTTTCAATTGGTGGTAGTTCAATTTCGACTATACGTGACCATGATGCGTTTGATGTCATTATTCTTTTGAGCCATGTCAGCTTCATGCTGGCGCAGAAGGATTGGACATCTATCATGCGAAGACCACCTGCGGTAAAGTTTTGTATAAGTTTCGCGCGTTTTATTGGATCTCGCTTACCACCCCAAACAAATTCAAATAAGATTCTCTCAAGACTTTTAAATTCTTTTCTGGAGGGGTCAGGTAGGGCCATAAATAGATGAACTAATTTTGACATCAACAGGGACTTGACGACTGTTATTCGCCCTAGCGTTGTAATGTTTCTTCTACGCCAATGTTGAATTTCTGTTTGAATCTGAGTGACTTTTGGTTCGAAATTGACCTGAGTAATGTTTTTGTTATTTTCATTGAACGTTATTCCTAGTATTTTCAATTGGTCAACAAACTTGATTTGGCTGCAACCAACGTTGTTGAACTGCTTTGCGCAGCCAATCTGCAGACAACATGTTTTGTCAATATTTAAGTTAAGTCCTGATGCTTCTGAGAATCTTTGCAATTCTTGTATAGCTCCTTTAACGCATTCTGTTTCATTCTTTAGGAATAAGATGGTATCGTCGGCATATTGAGAAATTCTTACTTCCGCACTGTCTGAAATTTTGATGCCGGTAACTTTTCTTGATTTCTTGATCTGTTGCGTAAGCAGGTTCACTGCGAGGTTGAAAAGGTAGCCCGAAGTCGGGTCTCCTTGTCGGATTCCGCAATTCAGGTATATTTTATCCCCCAAATGCCCGTTTAATATTATTCGGGAGAAGTTATCGTTGTTTAAATATAGAAGTTTAATGATTTCTATGAAATTTGGTCACGACGACGGCAACACGATATCAACTGTTATTTGATTTATGATTCCTTGATTAGCATAATTTAAACATACATATTATTAATCACCACATTTTGTGCTAAATTGCGTCATTGCAATATGCAGATTAATTTCGATGCGTGTCCCTTCTCCCCACATCTCAAAATTGCCTTGTTTTACAATATTTATTGTGATTCAAACTCTTACATTCAATACGAGACCAGATGACGTGGTCAAATTTTAGTTTTCCTCCATTTTTCTTCATGTTTTAGCCAAAGCAAGTGTTGTAAAGCAAATTGTTTTCACAATTCCAAAACGTAACTATTTTACCCATTCCTGTTTTTGGCAATTATGCATTTGTGTGCCATTTATTATACATGCAGCAGATAGTTGTGATTGAATATTAATATTTATTCCTCTTTATTGTCCTACATTATTTTATTCTTCATTCACAGCTGACAATGTGGAGTGTAAAGCTGAATGCAAGGGATATAGAACCAGTGCAGTGGTGAGATAATTATGCTGAAGTGAAATAAGCACGTACGTAAAAAGCAGGACCACTCTGCGTTCAATGTTGCGGTGCTGGAAGCAATGTTACGTCGCTGTTGCCGCCTGCTCGTGAATTAGGTGTGTTGATGCTTATATGTGTGGTGTTATTACCGTCGCTCGTTGTTTCCTGTGTTCAGGTCTTGGATAGTCCTCAGCGGCTAACTTATTGAGCAGTTGTGGTCAAATGCACAATTTATAATGAGCGAAGTGTCGCTCCGTTTCACATAGCTCGTCTATACGTCTCATGTTCTCGACCAAATGTTGGTTGTCAGTTTAATAACAAGCTTTACATGGAAAATCCTAGATCAATGTTTTGCTTTCAAATACATGCGTATGTGAATTGTGTACTAGATAAGTAGGTACCTATTTATGTTACGTAAATTTCTTCACAAAAAAATGTTTTACGTGGTGGAATCATATAAAGCCTTCTTTGTTTTTAAAGCGTTAAGTCTAAGTGTATCGATTACATAATTTGTACTTGGTAAATTTTGCAGAATAGCTTAAAAGCTAGAGGTTGATTATGCAATGAATTTCGTGTGCCGCAAATAACTTATCAGCTGAGGCGCTAAACGCCCTCCTCTTATCCCATCCCCGTCAGGTAATGGTGGGCTAACGACTCATGTTGTGACATTTGTATAAGCGCAAACATGCATACAGATGCACGCGACGACCTATGCATTTAGGTAGTACTTTTCTCAATCAGAAACAAACGTAATCACATACCGAAACGATTAATTTAATCAGGTCAGAAATGTATTTCTAAAAAAAAAACAGACCATCACTTTTACATATGTTCTCCTATATCCCAGTGAGCACGGTTATACAGGGGATAAGGAGAAAAGCCATGACACCTTTTCATTAACGGTTACGCATTACATATTTAACGGCACAAAAAGGAATGTCAAGAGTCAGCGTCAAGATATGTTTATGTAGCTCTTCGAGGCCCTGCACGGGGGCAGTGAACTATACCAATTAACCATCATTAATGTGCAAGTAAATGTCATGCCGGAGGTGGTCCGGTCATGAGGCGAGCTCTGGCTATCACAACCTCAGGCTGGTACAGGCGGCCGTCAAATGCACTGGTTCAACAACGCTAGGGGCACCTGAGCTCCAAACATCGGACGCAGCAACAGTCTCTTGCCCTTTTGACGCTGCGTGCAATGCTCCCTAGACGACGATGTAATCTGAAAGGGAAGGGAATGTCTAGTCAGATAAGCTGTTCACAGCGTGCAGTGTTTACCTATGCATGAAACATGAATGCGTTTATTTTTGTGAAAGCCACTGCAGTTATTTCTTACAGGAGGGGGGCAAGTATGTGGTTGAGGCTTGGCGGAGTTTTATTGTTTTCATAATACTCTCGTATACCATAAGCGAGTCCGTAAACGTACGTCATCTCGTCGTAATCAAAAATATCAGTTCCTCAGATCCGTACAAAAAAAAAACAATAAAAAGTTTTTCTTTCATTAAAAGTGGAAGTCACCAAAACGAAGGAAATTATTTAAAGACGTCTTTCAACCACTTCGAGGTTTCTTACCTTGTCTGCGGAATTTGCCGATCCTCATCTTGTGGGCGGTGACGACGCCCATTATGACCAGGATGACGGCTGCCGTGCCCACCACTATGAGCGTGACTCCCATCATCGTGAGGCTGTTGCTGCGTCCACCGCCAGCACCCGAAACGTCGGCCGATGCGCGCATACGCCCGCCGTCGCCGTGGCCCTGGACGGCACTCTTGTTGGTTTCACCGTCGTCATGTCCGTGAACAGAAGAGGAATCACCATGGCCGTGTACGGGACTGTTGTTGGTTTGTCCGTCGTCGTGCCCGCGGACGGGACTGTTGTTGGTCTCACCGTCGTCCTGCGCTGAAGACGAATCGTCGTGGCCGTGGACTGGACTGTTGTTAGTTTGACCATCGTCGTGTCCATGGACGGGACTGTTGTTGGTTTCACCGTCTTCGTGTCCATGGAAGATATCCCAGATGGATTTGAGGATAGCTCGACTGCCTCCGCCGTTGTTGTGGCCGTGCATGTCACCGGCATACGTGTTTCCATCATCATGGCCGTGAACGATGCCACTTCCTGACGTGCTGCCGTCATCGTGGCCATTGACCTCTCCATTGTACGTGTTGCCGTCGTCGTGACCATGCAGGTCTTGTGCCGAAAGTCTCATGATGCGTCGTAGTCCCCTGGTGTCTCCATCTCGTTTGCTTGACTGTAATTTTTTGTTTCCTGAAGAGTCGTCCAGCTCCAGGCCGGAGTCGTTTCCGTTTGGCTCGATAGTGCGAACACGTACAGGAAGCTTGCCGTACTGATACGTGTTGCGGAAGGTTCCCACGTCATTGATATAGGTGTTGCCGGACATGACGATCATCGGCACCGCCTTTGGGATGTTGTCGAATCCTCCGTGCTTGTCCTCAGAGTCCTTCCAATCGTCGTGCGCTTTAGTACTGGGATCGGCTTTGTCCATAGGGGCACCAAGAAGATGAGTCAAGGCTTTATGGGCCAGCTTCGGTGGCTGAGGCTGGCCTCCGATCAGCGTGCTGTTCTGGTAGCGGAAGTCGCGGATATATGAAGCAAATTTGGCAATGACCCCAGGAGAGGGGGCAGGCGCCTTAGTACTGGTATCCGCCTTGTCCATAGGAGCACTGAGAAGATGACTTAAGGCTTTAGGGACCACCTGTGGTGGCTGCGGCTGGCCTCCGATAATTGTGCTGTTCTGATAACGGAAGTCGCGTATGAATGAAGCGAATTTGGCGATGGCCCCAGGCCCAGGCTTTGAAGCCCTGAGGACATGGTCCCCAGTCGGCTTTCCATCCATCTGTCCGGGGCGCTCATTCAGAGCCGTGTCGTCGGCGACGCTGCCGTCTTCGGCCAACTTGTCGTGGAGCTTCTTCAAGACGTCCTCCAGCCAGGTGAAGTAGTCTGTGCCGTTGCCGAACACGTCAGGCCCGCCGCCTTGCGGGAGAGACGGATCGCCGTCGCTGGGAGAAGGCGCTGAAAGCTGCATCAGACCGCTGAATTTCTCATTCGGTCCAGCGTTTCCCTGGTCGTCGCCTGTCGTTTTCGCGTCGTCGTCCTCTGTCTTATCATCGTCCTTGGGGAACTGCTCGTCTCCGCTGTCCTGGCTGGTGTGGTTGGCAATGAACTGGTCGAGGTCGTCACCATTGACGCCAGCGTTCTTCATCTCCTTGGCGATGATGTCGGCGATCATGTCGGCCAGCTTGTCGAGCGGCACCTTCTCGCTGTTGTCGCCCTGGCTGCTGCTCAGGAGGCGCTGCTTTGCGAAGGGCGACTCGCCGCGGAAGCTAGAGTTCTCCATGATCTGCATGTTGACGCCGTCCATGTTGATTACCGTGCTCATGAGCTGCCAGGGGTTGAAACCGAAGCCTCCCGCATCGTCTGCTCGCCGGCTGCTCTTTTCGGCAGCCACCACACGAGGACCTGTAAAGGCAGTAAATATTAGAATATGTAACTACGAGGAAGCCACATTGAGGAGCAAAGGTGGTACCAAAAGTATGCGAACAGGTCACACCATTTTTATCATGCGTCTTTAATGTACATAGTTTGTATTTAAGTACCTGAGTAGTTTATGTCGCCATGCCTTATGTGGTAGGTAAAATAAGACTTGAAATGCAACGTGAAAGTCTACTTGTACACCATCAACTTACAGCAAAAATGCCTTATCAGATCATCACTTGTGAGGTCAGGCTCATGCAATCTGCATGTGAGTGACGGAAAGAATGCGCCTTGAGCCCTTGAACACCCAAAGTCGCGGGTTTTTGTGCTTAATCATATTTGGCTGGTGCTGGTCACTGTTGTATCGAAGGGAATTTGGGCATTTAACCCGCGACCGCCTGGGGGGGGGGTCGGATCCGACCCCCCCTCCGTTTTTCTTGAATAACTCACGAACCGCTTACGCTATCTACTTGAAACTTGGCATACCTTCTTCCCCATCGATTTGACGTCTCCTGTGCAATTTTGAAGAAAAAATTTCCATTTTTTTTAGATATATCGATTTTAGTGATGTAACTACATGGCGTTTTCAGTCAAAAAATGGTAAATGTTTAAAAAATCGCCAAAAATCGAGGTTTTAAGCAAATTGCAAATTAAGGACATGAATAGACGCAGCTTAACGAGTTCTTTAAAATGGCTATCTCGGATTTTCCATAAAGTGCGTTTTTCACCCCTAAAAATTCAAAAAACTATATTTTTAGGAAAACAGCTAATAAAATCCAAAATTTTGGGAACTTCCAAAAAACCGGAATATATGTTATAGAGCTCTATTAGAACATTAGATGTCCCAAATTTCAACTTTCTATCTTGGTTTTTGACCCCCAAATTGTAAAAAATAGCTCCAACATGCATAGGGCATGGTGACGTCATAAGCATTTTCGTGAATTAGAGGCACTTCTGAACATCGCATGTGAAAACAAATGGCACCACTAGATTCCTGGGACAAAGCCCGTCTAGAAAAGTGCATTTTTATGTCAAAAATAAAAAGTTGAAAAATTGATTTTTTTCTTGGCCCTCCTTTAGTTATGTATGGTATAAACGATTTTTTATGCTTTCAATGCACACTTATCACCAGCACAGTGACTTGGGGTCACATATAACCATTACCATCGGATTCGGCGTGAAAAATAAGCCATAAAACATGTGTCGCACGCCCATGTAGCAGAAAGTGAAAACCGTGACCTTTCGTGACCTGACCTGACCTTGACCCGTACTTAGTATGATTCCTATACGCACATGGTACCTTCACTAGGCCTTTGAGGTCATTTTTGGTGAGTTTCGAGCAGCAGCTATCGATTCCGCTGTCCGTAAGCCTAATCATGCAAAACCCCTGAATTTGACCTTTGACCTCACCTTGACCCGAAAGTTGACCTCAATCTTAAAATCTTAAGGGTGCTTTGGAAAGGTCTCGTAGAGACCTTTCGAACGCCGCCTCGCGGGGCTCGATACGACCATTGGTTCTCGAGATAACAGGGGAGTTGGATCCGACCCCCCCCCCCTCCCCCAGGCTGTCGTGGGTACGGAAATAGCCCAGGCGGTGCCGGGTTAAAGCATTTACCCTCCAGCAGCGTCCAAAAATCGCTTAGATTTGTCGATTTCCAAGCCTGGATAGAAAACGTACAAATTTGATCATATTTTTTCTTTATTTGCATACTTGCATTCATACAGCAATACAAACATCATTATTTCCTGAACGTGTCGGCTTTAACCCTCGCCGGCCGAGGGGGGGGGCGGGTGCCGCCCCCCCCCATAGGGTTTTTTCGCGATAGCTCCGAACACGCTGGCGATAGAGAGCTGAAACTTGGCATACCTAACCTTTGATTCAAGCCGGATCTTTTGACACCAACCGCATTTTTGGGTCAGGTCAGGTCACTGACCTATGACGTCATAAGTAAACCTCTGCACGGCCTTCAGATGTCGCAACTTCACAACGCCCTCACTGCCAGAGGAGATGTCACAGGGAAATGAAACTTGCAGGATCTAGTATCCATTATGAGTCTCACAACTTGTATATCTCGGATTTTTCCTAAAGGTCATATGAGGTCAGGTCATTTTCGTGACCTCACCATTATAAGTCAATGGGGAAAAATTCAAACTGCTATTCTGGCGCCGGGAACGATCTCCAACTATCTCAAGCACACGGAATCGTGATTTGATGCACTCCTTGCAAGGTTAGATGCGTCACTTTTGCAATGTTGACCTTGCGTGACGTCATTTATGACGTCATCAAGGTCATATTAGTTTTTCGTCAATAACTCTTGATCAAATTGAGCTAGCGAGACGGGGAAGCCACCATTGGACTCAGGAAGACCTCCCAAATCGAATGATATGCGACATGACCTCTTTCGACCAACTTCGTGACCTAGGGGTGCTGACCTGACCTTGACCTGAGGTCAACACCCCAAGTTGACCTGACCCGAACAAAAAGTATATCATTCGACGCGCCTGAGCGAGACGAACACGATGCGGCCAAAATCGCGGCTCTGCGGCCGTTTTTTGCGAAGTTATTCACCAAAAACTGAACCGTACCTTGGGGCACTTGACCTGACCTCAGAGGTCACCGGTTGACCTAGGACCTTAAAATCGGGTACCAACCTCTGCGTCTCGTAACGGCGCACACGCTCGTTTTTTCCGCGACGCGCTAGCTCCACCAGGGGCGAAACGGCGAGGGGGGGGGTCGTACCCGCCCCCCCCCCCCCCCTCGGCCGGCGCGTATGTAGAAAACCAATAGGTCCGGCGAGGGTTAAAGAGCTTTTACTTTATGAATAGGAAGTAATCCAGTGAATAACGGGTGACGGTATCACACCTTTCTAAAATGCTTCTCTGGTTTTCATATTGTGTGGTACCCTTCGTTTAATAATAAGCGGAAGACAAGGGTGGTGAAATATGTCAGGCCAGTCTTTCGAATGAGCAAGATAACGTTCTTCAGACCGGCTTGGACTTCATAAATAATGAGCCATAGAACTCTTTGCAGAAGCATATTTAGTTTCAGGATACGGTTAGATAGATTAGCTACAAAATATATTTCATGTACCAATAAACATTCCATAGCGTATACATTTTCCGGGCATCCAACCAATCAGAGCATACCACGTGCTTCATGGCAAATTAAATGGAACGTCCCTGCCAAGATTTACATAAATTGCTCTATGATACACACAAGCGGTTAGCGCTACTCTTCCGCATCGCGTTTCTCAGTTCATTTAGGCTGCAGACTGACTCAAGCATGCGGCCGTAATGTGACGCTGGACATAGCTTATTAACTAAAGCCTCATGGAAACCTGAGCCCGGCACGGCTCGGACGATTATCACAAACACATGTCGATAGCTGGCAGCACAGCGATCCGCTCCCAGCTTTCGTTTCCTGACGTCCAATCCCACAGAGGATTCTCTTCTGCTTATGCCCTCACATCGTCTCTTAGACGACGATGTAGCCTGCAGGCAAAGAACATGTTATCAGTCAATGTGTACATGGTAACAGCAATTTCCGATCATACGCTACCAGTCAAGTTTTGCCAAGCTCAAAATCGTTATCGTTCAAATTGTGTCATTTTATCATGCATAGTTCCTCCCACATCATAAAAGAAGTGTGATTTTATATGTAAATGTAGAAGAGACAGCGAGCATCTTTTCTATCGTTTGTCATATCTCACCTTGTCTACGGAAGTTTCCGACCCTCTTCTTCTTTGCGACGAGGAGGCCAACAGCTACGCTCATCACCACTGCCGAGCCGAGAGCTAGCAGCGTGACGTGTAGCATCGTGAGACTGCTGCTGTCTTCGCCGCCACCTCCTGCAGCGTCTGTCGGTGCTCGCAGACGTCCGCCGTCGTCATGGCCGTGAACGGAGGAGCTGTCATCATGTCCATGCACTGAGGAGGAATCGTCGTGACCATGGACGCTGCCACTGTAAGTGCTCCCGTCGTCATGTCCGCGAAGCGCTTGGGACAAGAGTTTCATGATCTGTTCACTTTCCTTGATATCTCCATCGCGTTTACTTGACTGGAAGCTGCTCTTAAAAGAGTCGGCCAGCTCCAGGCCGGATTCGAGTCCACTGGGCTCAGTTGCAGGCACATTTCCGTACTCGTGTATGTTGCGAAAGTTTCCGAGATCCTTGATATAGGTGTTGCCGGACAGGACGAACATCGCCTTTGGGATGCCTTGCCTGTCCTCAGAGTTCCTCCAGTCCTCGTACGCTCTAGCACCAGGGTCTTTTGTGTCCCTAGGTGCACCAAGAAGATGGGCGATAGTTGCCGGGTCGAACTGAGGCTGCTGGGGCTGCTGAGGCTGCTGAGGCTGTTGGCCGCCAGGTCTGGACGCTCCTAGAAGTTTCAAGAATATGTTGGGGTCGAGCTGCGGCTGTTCAGGCTGCTCGCCAGCAACGGTGGTGTTTTCCCTGTAATTGGTCTGGTTTTGGAACGCCTTGATGGCATCGATCAGCTCTGCAACAAATGATGGGCCGGGACCGAGGATGACCTTATTCTGAGGGGGACCGAACAACTTGTCAATCCACTTGGGATCGAGCTGCGGCTGTTGCGGCTGCTGCGGCTGCTCTGGTTGGGCTGGCTGCTGGGGCTGCTGCGGCTGCTCTGGCTGGGCTGGCTGCTGCGGCTGTTGTGGCTGAGCTGGCTGCTGCGGCTGCTCTGGCTGCTCTGGCTGCTGCGGCTGTTTTGGTTGTTGCGGCTGCTCTCCTGATTTTGATGCACCAAAGAGGCGTGCGATGATAACAGCAGGATCGATCTGCGGCTGCTGTGGCTGCTGCGGCTGCTGTGGTTGCTGTGGCTGGGCTGGTTGCTGCGGCTGTTGTGGCTGCTGCGGCTGGGCTGGCTGCTGTGGTTGCTGTGGCTGGGCTGGTTGCTGCGGCTGTTGTGGCTGCTGCGGCTGGGCTGGCTGCTGTGGCTGCTGCGGCTGGGCTGGCTGCTGTGGCTGCTGCGGCTGCTGTCCTGGCCTTGTCGCGCCGAAGAGGTGTATAAATGCAGCAGGATCGATCTGAGGCTGCTGTGGCTGCTCTCCTGGCGATCTTGGTGCCCCGAGGAGGCGGGTGATCATGGCTGGATCAAACTGAGGCTGCTGAGGCTGCAGCGGTTGCTGAGGCTGGCCTCCGATAACCGTGCTGTTCTGATAGCGGAAATCGCGGATGAATGAAGCAAATTTGGCAATGAGTCCAGGGGAGCCCGGCTCAGACCCCGACTTTGAAGCGCTAAGGACATGGTCCCCAGTCGGCTTTCCAGGGCGCTCATTCATAGCTGTACCTTCGGCGACACTATGGTCTTCGTCCAACTTGTCGTGGAGCTTCTTCAAGACGTCGTCAAGCCAGGTATAGTAGTCTGTGCCATTGTCGAAGACATCAAATCCGCCGTCTTTCTGCGGGGATGACAGAAGTCCGGTGGGAGACGAGAGCCGCAGGAGATTTTCACCCTTTGCCTGCGATTCGCCTGCTGCTCTTTTACCTTCATCGTCCCTCTCGTCAGCGCTTTCAGGGTACTGTTCGTCTCCGCTGTCCTGGAGGGTCCGGTTGGCGAGGATCTTATCCAGATCATCGCCATTGATTTCGGCTTTCTTTAATTCATTTGCGATGAGCTCAGCAACCATCTCGGTCATTTTGTCGTAGGACGACATTTTGCTGTCCACGTTGAGGCTGCTGATGACACGGTGGTCACTCTGATCCTCGGAAGGCGACTGCCCGATGAAGGAAGAGTTTTCCATGATCTGCATGTTGATGCCGTGCATGTTGATGACGTTCGTCATGCCGCTCGGATACGTCGCGTCATCATTCCGCGGGCTATTGTGTTCGGCAGCTACAGCTTGTGGACCTGAAACAGAGAAGAAATGTGAGGGAGCTTGGTGCCATCAGACAGCACCGGTATATCAACGATGTAGACGCTGGTCAGCAGTGACTAAGACTTTGAATGGCAGTGGTGAAACATTGGAGGACAAATATTAACTTTTTCCATTATTTTCATATGGCTATTGAACAATAACGTACACACACGTACGTACACAAAAAGAAAACGCATGCGACCAGCATGCAGGGAACATTTTCCCAACACGCCACGAATTCGATTGCCTACTGGCAGTTTAGTGCGGTCAGATTAGTTTGGTACCAAAATGTGCCTGCCGTGCCAAAAATGTGCCAGTACTCGGCAGCATCAGTCACCCAGGGAACCTGAGAACCGCTCAGAGCAGTCCCGACGAACCGATATCTCTGTTTATAGCAACTGCAACAGAACCGCATTCGCATCCGAATGGTTTCGCAATAGCTGGCTCTTCTGGCATGGAAATTAGTGGCCCAGTGTCACCAAATCTGCACATCCAGCATCCATGCCTTGCATATCCAGCTTTGCTTTGCATGAATCATACGTGTGTCCGGGACCCAAGGCAGTGGCGCAGGAACAACTCAGGCAGGGGGGGGGGGCACACCATAAAAATGATCAACCTAGGGTACCCGGCAATCTAGTTTTCTTACCGGTTTTAGGCCCCTTATTTTTCATCCCTTGGCTTTTCAACAAAAAAAGAAAACATTTGAAAAAGTGCACTATTCCGTTTCAAGGTTGTGGGGCACCGGCCCCCACGACCCCAGAGTTGGGGCGGGGGGGGGGGGCAATCTGCCCCCACTGCCCCCCCCCCCCGGTTCCCGCGCCTATGGCCCAAGGCAGCACGGTCGCGTTACGTCCAGATGAACTTGGCAGCCGGAATGAGTCAAGGAATGGGTCAGCCGGAATGGGTCAATTGTATCGATTGCGGAAACACGGCGAGAACTGATGTTTCCCGTAATAGGTTCTGTTAGGTGTATGGGAAAATCGCGTCGCGTAACTTGACATGGGCAATAGGCATTGCGTATGGCACAATAACCCAATGTCATTTAAGGTCAGGTCACCACACCCAATGAAATGGCTCTGCTTTTATCTTTCTTTTTAATCACAGAGAAATTAAGTTCATGATTGAATAAATTGACTATCTGATCCAGAAAACTGTTCGACGATTGCTTGACGGGTTGCTGAGATATTTAATTGGGGCTATGAAAACCGTAACTGGGCAAGACTGGGCCATACCGAACATTTTCCCTCACCACAGACACAGCAAAATCGCAAGCCATTGTCGCACAAGTCGCACACTCGCAATCTTGATTAAAACTTTGCTGAAAAAGCATTTTTGTGATATCCGGTGCCATTTTTTACCTGCATTTATGTTGCCGTTTTTGTCATATACCTACCTATTTACCTATTTGTGAAAGTTATTTGCTTACTGGCATTTCTCAGCCTCTCGTAACAAAACTGCACAACCCACATGGGTTTCATCAATTAGAAGCCCCGGCAACGTCAGCAGGCTGACAGCATTACGATACAAAAACGGCGTCCGAGCAGCGCTCCGGAAACCGCCGCCCCCAGGCTCGCCCGGCCCTGGCCTGACCTTCAACCAGCGGCCACGTGACTGGTCTCGAATCGGGTGACCAATCCGGAGCTGGTGGTGACGGGCAGGTCGCTGCGGAGTTCAGCGGCGTAGCCCCGGGGCGTCAGGGGCGGTGGAGTTTATATGTGTCGAGGCTCGAGCCAAAGTTTTCTGCTAGTTAGACGGGCCATACTGGACATGATATGCACGAACAGCTGTGCAATGCTATAGTGGCCAAAGTGGTTTTGTTCGCGACCTTTCGGTGACGGAAGAAAAGGGAAACGTCAGAAAACGAGACGTGTCGGAGACATCCAGTTCCTGCGGAGGCCCTTCTGCGCAACCAATGGTAAGCTCGTAAATGCTACCTACTGTTTCTGAATCACGTTGTGTTCGATACTTACTCAACATGAGGCACATGGTACTGGTACACTCGGGGGCAGATTGATGTTCCACAACTCTTTATCCACCGGGTTCCTATGGCTCAGCATTGGCAGCAGCCGCCTGGTACCGGTAGACTGTGCCGCTTCACTTACTTGTCAAGCGGCACAGCCTACCCACCCGTATGACACCGGTCTGAGTCGGTGGCTGGAAGGTGATGTGGGCCGCCTGTGACGTCAGCGCAGCGGTGAGGGCCGAGCCCGGAGGCATGGCTCGGGTCGGCGCGGTGCGGCGGCTGGCGAGGGCTGGGGAGTGAGGTGGGGTGGGAGCACGGACATCGCGCGGCTGAGCGAGTGTAGTTAACTTTCGCGTCTCAAGGCGCCAATTATTCTACCTAACAATTGTGCTAAAGCAGAACGTTAAAATGTCCTATCCCCAAGACAGCGCCTATCATCATACTTGCCATGCACATTACGACACACTTAAGCGTGGCAATGGGACAGCCGATAGAACTTATGTCACTCGTGCATCGAGGTGTGGAGCTGTATTTTGTATAACATATTAGTATTATGGCCTGGATTGAGCAGATTGGTGTCTATTGTTTCGCACGGCAATCGTCCAGAGACGTGGGAACTGGGGGTTATGAGTAGCGCCGCAGCCAACGCCCCAATTTAAAGCGATTATTACTGTTGCTCTTTATGTGGTCGCAGCCCCCAATAGCAAACCGTTCCAACTAGGAGCCAAAAAGTCAGCCACTTAGGGGGGGGGGGGGGGGGGTTCGAACCGGGCTTCTCCAACCGGCCAATTCACGACACGAGCGTTCATCCACTGAGCTACCGAGAATGGTCCTCGTCTGCACAAAACAAAATGACATTCACCCGCTGACCGCCAATGACAGTATTGTGACATTTGATCGCGTTTGACCGCGGCGGGTAGTCGCTGGTTTCGGCAGCTCAGTGGATACACGCTATAGCATCGTAGGGTGGCCGGTTGGAGAAACCCGGTTCGAACCGTCCCAGGTGCGCGACTTGTTTGTTCCTAGATGGAACGGTTTGCTATTGGTGGCTGCGACCACACATTAGAGGAACAGTAAGGCTGGGGGGATCCATGTGATCGCAAGGCACCTCGCAGTTGCGATCAAACGTAAGTTGAATCGGAACAGATATTGGAGGGATCCATCACATCGTAGGCTAAGTAGATACGCAAGTTGTATCGCAAATGGTGAAGATACGAACTAACTTTACGAATCTTCTCGGTCGATCGGAAGGCCGATCGTAGCGAAGCTTTACCTCTTTCTCAAGAGAAAAATATAAGAAATTTTCAAAATTTTCACAAAACCGAAATATATATTAAACAAATATGGTTGATGAACACGTGTGAAAAATTTGAAGTCGATTTCTTCAAAAATGGCTGCGCTAGAGCGTCTTAAATTTACACGTTGAAAACGGTCACTTTCACGTCATTTTTGTAATTTTTTTTCAATTTTGAAATTTAAAAAGTGTTTTGGGCAATTTTTCGCGTTAATTGCGAAAATCTGACCAAAACATGTATCGCACCATCAATGATTCGATACGCCATCAGAGGCCGCGCCGCGGACAGGTGGGCGCGGTGATACCTAGGCCGCGTGGGGGTTACGTTACACTGGTGTTCGGGAAGGGCTATGTCAACGCGAGGCAGGCCGCGGGGGAGCCGGTTGCGGCGCCGGTCCGTATTTGTCGGCGCCTAACAGTGCAGCGGTGCGTTTATGGCGGAGGGAGGGGAAGCGGTGTAGTGTCGGCAAGGCCGCACACAGGAGAGGGCACACGGCCCCCCCCCCCCATTTGAGTTGGGGCCCCTAATCTTTAGACCGCCGAAGACCATGTAAAATGAACTGAAATAATGATTGAAAAGACCGGGAGGGCCCATCTCGTTCCCCAGCAGGCCCATACGAGTCCATAAATGCCCAGTAGCGCAGCCAGGGGTATTGTGGTGAAATTTCAATGGCCCTCAAAAGACCTCAAAGGGCCCACAGATGGGGCCACCGGGTCCTCAGATGGTCTCGAAGGGCCCTCGGTTAGCGTCAAATGGCCCTCATCTGGTGTCAAAGGGCCCTCAGATGGCCAAATGAAGGGCCACAAGATGGCCTCAATGAGCCCTCAGATGGGTTCAAAGGGCTCTCAGCCAACGTTAAACCTACCTCAGAAGACCTTAAAGGGCGTCAAAGGGCCCTAAACCTGCGTCAGAGGGCCCTGAGCTCGCGTCAAACGACCCTCCGAAGGCCTTAAAGAGTCCTTAGCTTGTGTCAGAGGGCCCCCAGCTGGTGTCAGTGAGCCCTCCTCAGCTGGCGCCAAAAGTCCATCTGAAGGCATCAAACGGTCGTCAGCTGGAGTACAACGGTCCTCAGATGCCGTCACGCGGCCCTCAAAAGCCTCAAGGAGCCTTTATAAGGTCTCAAAGGGCCCTCATTTGGCCTCAAAAGGCCCTCCGCCAGCGTTAACCGGACTTCAGAAGGCCTTAAAGGGCCCTTATCTGGTGTCAGAGGGCCCCCAGCTAGTGTCAGAGGGCCCTCAGTTGGCGCAAAATGGCCATCAGAAGGCCTCAAACGGTCCGTAACTCAAGTCCAACCGCAACGGTCCTCAGGTGGCGTCAAGCGGCCCTCAAAAAGCCTCAAAGGCCGCTTAGAAGGCAGCAAAGGGCCCTCATATGACCCCAAAGGATCTTCTGCTGGCGTCAAACGGACCTCAGAAGGTCTCAAAGGGCGTCAAAGGGCCATGAGCTCGTGTCAAATATAGAAGTGCCCTTAGCTGGTGTCAGGAGGCCCCCAGTTGGTGTCAGCGTGCCCTCAGCTGGTGTCAGAGAGCCCTCAGTTGGCATCTACTGGCCATCAGAAGGCCCCAAACGGTCCTCAGATGGCGTCCAACGGTCCTCAGCTGACGTTAAGAGGCCCTCAAAAAGGCCTCAAAGACCCCTCGGCTGCTGAAGAGGCCCTTAGCCTCAAAGGAAACTCAAGAGACGTTAAACGGCCCTAAAAAGGCTTGAAAGGACCCTCTGCTGGTGACAAAGGGCT